ACCGTCCGGCAGCCGTCACCGGCTCAAGGAGGAGCCAGGAGCTGCCACTAGCTCACAGCGGGCTGTGCAACTGCAGGGCTAAAAAAAAAGTTCTCCAGACCTTCTGGGCTTTGGACACACTGCATGGAAGGGCAGAAGCCTCATCCCTGCCAGCCAGACCCCAGGGGCACAGGGAGAAGCCCGATGGTGTTCCCGGCTCCTCGGCTGGCTGCTGGAGCAGGACCATGGCTGGCCACGGCTCCTCTGTGCCAGCACACTGAGGGGACCTCCTCTCACCGACCACAGCCACCCCAGAGCTGCTCCACTGCCCATGAAATGCATTTTGGATGCCCCATGGGTACTGTGCGGCAGCCGGCGGCGGGATGTCAGCATCTTTCGCCTCCAAGGGGAAATCTCCAGGTCCTCCTCTCCCAGGGTTAACGTGCACCTTCACCTGCCACGAGAGGAAGGCACAGAGCAGAGCTTTCGCCGGCTGCTGCCCGATGCCCAAGCCTGCATGGGTACGGAGCAGCGGGCACCCCGGCTCTCCCTGCCTTTCAGCCTGGGCATCACAGCTCAGCTGAAGCGCCTGGGCTGGACTCTGCCACTCTGAGCATCCTGGTCCATCCTCCTGGATCCAGCAGCTCCATGAGCAAACTGGGCAGGTGCCAAAGCTGTGTGCCCCCCAGGAGTCCCAGTAGGTTACCCATCGTGCCCCAAAATCGGATCCTCCTGTGGCTGCACAGGATGAACTTTGTACTTAGAGGGTACATGGACCCCTCCATACTTTTGTACGCGTTAGTTCAGCACCATCAAGTCACACGTGGCACAGTTTCCAGTATACTATTGCTAAGGCATGTATATATTCAGTAGATGCACCTATATATAGGGGCAAACTCGCTGAAGAGACTCTTGCTACATGAATCTGGTTGCATGGTTTCCTTGGGGCACTTCAGAAGGTGTCTTGCCTCCTCCATGGGTGCCCCTGGGAGCCCGACCGGTACCTGTCTGCTGGGGGGCTCTGGGGCTGCACTGTGTGCTCCAAGATGCTGTGTAGGACAGCTTAGGGGAGCACACACAGGTAGTGGTGTAAGAGATGGAGGAAGGATGCTCAGAAGTCCTGCTGGTTGACCACAGCAGTTGCCCATCTCCTGGGGTGACAGGGAGGTAGCTGTGGGGCTCAGCATCCACAGCAGGAGATGCCCATGGGCAGGGACCGAGGCAGGATGGCAGGTCTGGGGTGAGGGGAGGGCAGGGATTGGGGCCCGTGCGCTGTGGAGGGGCTGGCTGGTC